CCTCCTCTCCTGTCTACACTGCTGTAGTTTAACAACCTACACACACTTCATGTTCAGTATTGGAAAACTGAGTGTAGATTAGGGAAAAGAGATATTTTGATATAGTCTCTTATGATGCACTGAGGTAGTGTTGTCACAATGCTGGAATTTCTTTCTTCAAAAACAGCTTGAAAAAAAAATCTATTCTAAAAATTTTCTATACCACAGGGAAAAACTGGCATTGAGAGCATTTAAAATGTTTTATTAAGAGATAAATATAAAAGAGTATACCATAACAATGATGACTTTTCTGGTCTTGGTTAGTAGCAGAGAAAAGCAGAATAAATGCAATAAATAAATAAGAGAGAGCAAGAAGGTTCAGCTGGTATCGGTGTATCGATACTGCTGAAAATGAGTACTGACATGGTTTCAAATATTTACAATCGATATTTATGTAATCAATAGTTTTGACAACACAATACCAAGGACACCATCACAATCTTTCTTTTGTGATATCGAGACAGTGTTTCTTTACTTTGCTGCGGAATTGTTCTGTCTGAACTGTTAAGCTTTTTGTGAGTTTATGGCTGTTTAGCATTTGAACGATGTAAAGTGTGGGCTATAAATGTTGCTGTGTGTGTGTGGGTGTGTGACTCCACACTTAGGTACACACGGTTCATCTCCATTTTATGAAACTTTGTGGAAGTGAAAAGACTGTCTAATGCAGAGAGTAAAATCAACAAAGGATGGATCCTGCTTTGTACATATTGATTAAGCCCTTTCAGGATTGTGTTTTTCTCTTCACTATCATGATGTAGCTTAGATGACTATCTTACAGTATGCTGCAGAATCACCTGTATGATAACGCCTTCCTTTTCATGGCAAAATATGCAGATCGTAGCACACTGTGGGTGATGTGACTCCCAGCTCGGATATAAGCGAAGAGAAAGATACACTTTAAGATGTATTTGTATTAGTGTGGACTTGAGGGACGGACAGACGGGGACGAGGAGAGGAGAGGAGAGGAGAGACAGGGAGCCCAGGCAGGCAGGCAAGCCAGCACAGGCTCCACAGCCTCCTGCAGCCAGAAACCAGCTCCCCCCTGCACCCCTGCACCCCCCACCAGGAGGATGCCTATTGTTCCCCCATCCCCTAAACAAAGCCTGACCCCCACCCCCCACCCCACCCCACACCCCCAAAAATCACCCTCCCTTTCCCCAACCCACCCTTCACCCCCCACACACTCAGCATTGTTGCTCTAATAAACCGGCTCCGCTCCCTAAATTTCATTACATACGAGATCAGGCTCCCCTTCTTTTATCCTCTTTAAGAACACATTGACCAAATTTTTCCTTCTTTATCCTGCTGCATGCTAAACACACTTTCTGGCGAACGCATAGAAAATCAGTACAGTTATGAGCAAAGATTAAATAAAATGCAGAAGCTGTTACAGTCAGGGATGTGTAAAAGACAGGAAATCGAAACAGGGCTGCAGCGGCACTGTAGGAGTTGATTTTAATTAGCATCAAAAGGAAATTGTGTCGTTTTTTTTAAAGAGAAAATTCTCCAGTTGACACCTCAACAACGCCAACAGCAACACTGACATCCTCACAGTCAGAAACATCACACAATTCCCAGGATTGACTCCATCACCTGTTGATTCATCCAAAAGATAAACTGGCAATTTCCACCTCAAACTCACGTCTCATTCTGCTGAAGCTAACTTCATTATTTGAATAAAAATGAACAAAGTGGGTCTACATCTGGACGTCACAAGACATCATTTCATGCCAGAAAGATTATTCCTCCTAATCCAGAAATCTGTGCACCGGATTGTGTACTCCTGTCTAGAAATGAGACGACAGATGAAACAACAAGGAGGAGGGCAGCGAGCAGCCCGTTGCTCATAACTCCACCATACTGTAACAGCATTGGTGAAGTACGTGAACACACACACAAACATGCGCACGTACACAGCGGCTGTGGCTAAAGCACACAGAGGCCATATGGTGTGTCCTCATCCACCAACGCCTGTTGCTGCCGCAACAATAGGCCCGCCTGGCCTGGACAGCAAGAGGCAAACACACACACACACATACAAATGTGCGCACATACACACACACACACACACACACACACACCAAATGGTCGTTAGTCAGTCAGTCTGCTTAGGCCCAGAACAAACGCCTGGATTTGCATTCTGCGCCTCCCTTCGTCCCCCCCCAACCCCCCTTCTCTCTCCGCTCTCTCTCTCTCTCACACACACACTTCCTCGGTCTCTACAGGTGCACGGAGCACTCAAAACAGATGTCAACGGACTGGAGAGGGAGAGGCACGGGGGGGAGAGGGGAGGAAAGTGGAGGGACGACGGGAGGCTGTTTGCCCAGGGTGAATGACAAAGCTTTGAACACTCGCAGGCCTAGACACAGCAAAGACAATGACACACACACACACACACACACAAATGCATCTCCTTGCTCTGTTACACTTTCAGCACTGCCTCATTTATCATTTTGAAACACTTTGAGGAGCGCAAGGACAGAATAAGTACAATTTGCTCTAGTATCAAGATTTAAACTTTTTTCCAAGAAGATTTAAAAATTAAAAACTAATTTGTATCACTTCTTTAAATCCACACTTTCAGGGAAAATGACATCACAGATATTGCTGCCTGTGTAGGGCATCACTTTATCACATTTATTCATATTTTACACTGTTGCCAGCGGTGACACATGGACCAAAACTCTTCAAAATCAACACGCATATACCTTCGTGAAGTCAGAAACTAAATAAAACCCTGTAAATACTTTGTATGTTTTTTTTTCTGCTTTGCTTTTTTGTTATTTTATAGTCAGTTTAATGTCATCTCTATCACACATACTGATCATTTTGTAACAGTAGCAGACCTGAAATCTAGTAGAAAATGAGTTGATTGACAGAAAATTAATCAGTAACCATTTTGGTCACTGATTATTTGTTTAATTTCATTTTTCAAGCTAAAATGCCCACAAATCCTCTGGTTACAGCTTCTCAAATGTGCACATTTGCTGCTTTCCCCTGTTTACATCACTGTAAACTGAATGTGTATTAGTTTTGACTGTTGATTGAACAATATTTAAGGACACTGCGTCAGGCTGTGAGCGGTTACTACCTCCAGATTCCATGATTTACTTACAATTTTTAGACAAAAAAAAAAAAATTATCGATGAATTGGGATAATGTTATGCATTAAATCTACAATGTAAATAATCATTAGCTGTTTCATTCTCCCTGAATCATGAACTCACAATGACTGAGGTTATTTCACTGTCATCTAATTGACAAAACAAATTATCTATCTCCATTTCACAGTTACATTCAGCCAGATCAATTCTATTATAAAGAAGCCCAAACTAGTCCGAACTCAAATCCTTTCATCTAACGTACCCCTCCCCTCATCTGACAGATGGATTGCTGTTACAGAAGTAATGCGTCTACTATGTTTCATCCTACAGGCTGTAATTTTCTCCAATAATTACATTGTGGTTTGGCCTGCATCACCGCAGATCTCTTGCTATAAAGGACAAAAGCAATCCTTTAATCAATATTTAAAAGGAAATACATAACACAACTATAAGCCCATATGGGGAAATCATAGGCCAGTGAGGGGGGTTAAAAAATCTGGAAACTCTTAGACTAAATCACCCTCAGCTCCCACAGATTCATTAAACATGTCTGATGTGAGCTGGTGTAAAATGAAATGACTGGAATCATTACACAGTAAGCAAATGAAAAATCCTATTTTCAAAGAAGCATAAAATGACCCTCACTCCTCACACATGAAATCAGTTTAATCTACAGACTGTGGAGGTTGTATGGTTTAGACAGTAAGAGATGAATCAGTCTGGAAAACTCAAATTATAGAAATGAATTCTACATCTTTAATATTTGGTATTTTCCTTCAAGATGCTCAAACAAATCCATCAGCGGCCTTTCGGATCGTGTTCTCATTGGGCATATAATGTGCTCTGTCCACTGGGTAAACACAGGCTGTGTGCATGTTATCAGCCTATGGCCTGTTCCTGTGACTGGGGCCTGCCTGTGTCGGAAAAGAGAAAACCCCGCCGATGCAACAAGTCCCCCATTCACTCCCAGCTTTGTTAAGCTGCCTCCCAGCGCTGCAGCGAAAATGTTTTCATCTCTTTCGCGTTACATGTAGGTCAATATATGAGGCTAACTCTGATGGAGAAACCTCCTACAGCGTGTATTTTATTATACGAGAGAAATAAGTGATAAAAAAGCAGGTTTGTTTTTTTTGGTGTCGGGAGAAAGGGGGATAAAACTGAAGTGAAAGCGACATCCCTCGCTTTGAAGCTCACACGGCAAAGCAGTAATAAGCTTGTTAGACTTGTTTAACATGTATAAAGGGGTTGAGTGTGTCGATGAAGCTCGCGATGTCGCCGAAATTATTTGAATTTCAGCCTCAGTGACCACTTCAGGGTTTTAGAAACAAGCGAAACGTCCGAGGGCTTTCAGACGCGCAGGCTACAGGCTGAGGGGGGACTCCTCCTTGGGAACTTACCTCGATTCATACGCCTCTTTATGGATTAATTCCCACACTTTTCCACGGATCGGAGTCGCCACAGCATCGGGAAGCACTCCGCCGACTCCAGAGTCTCCTCACGGTTTTGGTTTGATGAAGGATCGGGCGCGCTGAGTGCGTAAAATGCGCAGCGTCTCTCCAAGGATGCGAAATATGCGCGGAATGGGAGCAGGAATGAAATGAACGCAGTGGACTGAGTTGAACGGGGCGGGGTGAGAGGGACTGGCGTCACCCTGGATGGATGAGTGAGTGAGAGATGGGAGGATGGGTGGAGAAAAAAAAAAGGAAAAGAAGGAGCGAGGGGGAAGGGGAAGGGGCCGGACTGTATGGGCTGCGTTCAACAACAAAAGAAAAGAGTGGAGCGCCCAAACTCTATTCAGTGGAGGAGGAGAATGGGTCGAGATAAAAACACGGACTGCCCTGCATGGATGAGCAGCTGACAACGAATCAAACAAGGTCTACTCAAAAATTACAGTGACAACATCTTTATGCGAGTTAAATTTCAAACTTTTAATAAGTTCTTCCTTAAAAATTAAAAAGTTAAATTTTAAACAATGGAAGCGACATTTTAAACACTTAAATGAGGTTATGTGACTTTTTAAAGACACATAACACATTCCTCCTACAACTAAAATGTTTCATTCATAAGCAATAAAATGAACATTTGCTAAATTCAATACAGCCTTCCTCAGTCTGGTATCACAAGTAGTTTATGGTGGTAAATGTTTGCAAACCTGAGATAGATATTGTTGTGTATCTGACATGCTGAGTAAGTCCCCTGACTCTGTGACTGTTTTTAGCCTATTGGTGCTTCTGTCATAGGTCTACAAGCAGAGTGGACTGCATCAGTTTAAAAAGTCTTAAAATGTCTTAATTTTATTGTTGTAAGTATTAGGTCTTAAAAGTCATTAAATAGTCTTACATTTGAATTTGTGAGGTCTTACAGCTACAAACATTTTATCTAATTTCATTTATTCATCTTTGAAGCCCCTTTTCCATTGCCTCTTCAAGGCAAGAATTTCATACTGTTATTCCACCTTGCGCCGTGCTGTGTAAAAGGCACAATCCCATAATGGGGGGGGGGGGGGGGTACAGTCGTCTCACCTTTAAGCCAGTGTCAGAGGTAGTAACAGCAGTTGAACGATGTCTGTATGAACAGGACAGCCAGCAGGGCAGGATCATGAGTGGCATGGGTGTGGCATTTTGACAATGTGTCATGCTTGTTACCCACTGCCAGATGGTTAAAAAGTAGCTGATAGCAGTTAGCAGCTAACTCAAAGAAGAAGGACATTGGCTAAAAATGTCCGCAAATTGGGAAAACAGTGAGGTCTGGGAGGTCTGGGAGCTCCGTACCCTCCGAGCAAAGGACGAAATCAACTGCCATGTAACATGGACAGTAAATGATTGTTATTGCCATGTTAATGCCATTGTTATTGTTTATAAAGCGCTGCCGAAGCATATGTTATTTGTCACAATAGAGGCCGTCACTGTTGTGTTACATGTCACATCTGTCATGTCTCTTTTGATTCCTCAATGTCAGCTGTCTGTTTTACTCTGCTGTCTAAAATCACACACTGGACTTGAGTTTCATTTTGTAAAAATTTGCCTAGTCACACCCTTGTGAGTGAATGTCCACATTTCTGATGTTACAAATCTTTAAACCTACCACTGAACCTAATGTTGTCTTTTTACCTGTTGGCAAAATGTAGATTAACCTAGCTCACTCCAATAACCATATTTCTGCATAAAACCTACATCTGCATGGGAGTACACATAAAGGTACAACCCATCCTTACCTCCAACACTTGAGTAAGAAAAAAATCTTTGTGCAAAAACTGGTCTTACATTTTGTTAAAAATAATCGTTAAAAGGTCTTTAGTGTTTTAGTGTTTGATACCTGTAGACACCCTGACTAGCCTATCTTTTAGTAGGCTACTTATCATTATCCTGTCATGTGTTAATTCTTCTTTTGTATTGTAGTCAAAGTGGCTGCTGTTCAGCAAAAGTTTCATGGTCTCTCTTTAAACGCAAAGTTTAACCTTGATTAAGAAATCTCACGTTTGCATTTAGATATATTATAACTACATCCCTATTTAACAAAAAAATTAGAAAATTCCGAGATGTTGTGTCTCTGCCAGTGATTTTAGCTAGCGGTTGTTGACAGAGTTATGGACCTAATTCATTCATAATCCCACTGAAAATTTGACAAACCACAAAGCAGGCAGGGCAACACGCTGAAACTGAAGCTAATGTAAACATATCAAGGGCTAAACATTAATGTTACTTTCAGCTGGCTATCTTTTGTGTTTATAGGTTGTTAGTAGGAACAGACGAGCAAGAATAAAGCAAATTATCTAAATTCTCCTCCAGATGTTTGTTTATTAATTAAGAGTATAAGTAGTCTGGACTTGGTTCTAAACATGGAGATGGCTGAGCTGGCAGCAAATGATGCTAACGCCATAAAAAGTGCTCAACAATGGTTACAGTGTTAACCAGGGATGAACTAGAGAGAGGGTGCTACACTTCCCCGATAACCCTGTCTCGATGTCAGCGGTAACGGCCATATAAGCATAGTGCAAGACAGCGATAAAGAGCTGGCCAGTGGTATACACACATGATGATTACAACAAAGAACAGAGCAGCTCAGATTACTACACACACAGAGGTAGTGTGATTTCATTCTCTGCTCAGAATGCTATTACTCCACTATATCTTTACATTGCAAGTAGTGCTTTGTTGCAGTATTAATGCTCTTAGTGTTGCATACAGACCCCATCACCCACCCCTGGACCGCCCTGAAGGACCCTCAGGGTTGTTGGGAACCCCACTTTTAGTAGCCACTGCCTTAACCTGAAAATCATTGTATCTCTCTCAGATCTTTGAATGCAGCAGGCAGCCGCCTCTGCCTCATAAAGGAGTTGTTGTTTACTACTAAGCTCTGCCTATCTCAGGTTTCAACCCCTCAGGCACTGCTGGACTGTCATCTCCCCAGAGGGAGGGGCTGTGACATAAAACAAACACAGATATGCCATGGTCACAGGCTGGAACACCTACTGCAACCCGACACTGCAGCCAGGCCAGCCAGCCAATAGACTAGCATTCCACATGGCAGCATGTCTATGTTTGTGTGTAAGTAAAATTCTCACGGATGCATACAAACACACCCACACACAGCTGACTCAGATGTGGATCATACTCAGTGTGTTTCTATGACATCTTTGCAGAGGCATGTGTGTGTCATTCTCAGACTCAGAGCCACGCAAACACAGAACAGGCTAGTAAAACATTCAGCGTGGTGACCTTAAGGTCAACAGTCTGACCTCAGATCTGACCTCACCTGGTTTCCTGATGTTTTATTAAAGCTGTCTGTGCCTGGGAGCCTATATCTTCTTCATGGAGGCTCAAACACTAAGGGGCAAAAATACATTATTTAGAAATGTATCAAGTCAGCATTTTCTTACTGAGATTTGTGGTGTTGTTGTGTTTTTTTTTGTGCCATAAAAAGATGAAAACTACTGCTCAGATTGTGTCAGACTAGTACAGCCATAAAATCAAAATAATGACTGTCACTCCCGAGAAACTCTTTGAGGTGCTAAAAATAACTTTGTGGAGGGTTAAATTTGTCCGGTAAGCTCTACTCTGGGCAACACTGCTTTAACTGGAACCTTCTAATCTGTGCATTCATCTAAATCTGTGTATAATTTAATATTTTGGTCTCCTCTGTGCTTGAAATGACAGAGGGAAAATAAAGATGGAGAATGTCAGAGTTGATGGACGCTAAATGTCAGCAAGAGCCCTCTTGTGGTCTGTGGGGAGCGAGCTAAACAATAAGGGTGTGGAGTCTCCACATGGGTTTGATTCATACGAGATGAGTTTAGGATGACATTTATGCAGAGGCTGAATTGACAGGGTTCTCTGTCCCACAACAACCATCAAACTTGTCACAGTACCCTCAAGCAGGAGACTGAACCTCCAGGCTTACTCACTGAGAGCAATTCTTTAAAGCTTAAATGTTTACACGCTCCAGTGCAAAGTGAAAATAATGATACCTATTGTCATCTTTAAGATATGCCTTTATTTTGAAATTCCCATGGCACGTCTGTGTCACCATTTCTATCTGATGCACTTCCTTCCTAAACATTCAAACAGTGCTAGCAGCCTAGCGCCAGGCAAACAATGCAAGAGACTGATGATATTAACGGGTATTATATCAATTGCATGTCCCTGAATTGAGTTGAATTAAATTTTATTGTGGCAGACTTTGTATTATTAACAAATATCCATCTCATTTTCATTCCCAGGTCATCAAGCTAAACACTTTGTTACGCCCCTCAGCGTTTGATAGTGACGCACAGGGCACTTTTATCTATGTGACACACAGCTAAAACACATTGTAGCCACCACGAAAGTACCAAAAACTGCAGTTCTTCGAACAGCCACTTGAGGCTGGCTCCAGAAGCCATTTAATCCACATAGACCTTTTTTACTGTTAATAAACAGTATGACATTTTTTGATGGGCAGGGCTTAGCTGGAGACAAAACAGTACTTCACAGACATTAATCAGCACTAGCTAGCAAGTTCTGTTGACTTGTTTTACACAATGGAGGAAGATGATGTGAGTGGTGCATCCAGAAATACTCATTGTATACGACACAGAGTGCCGGATCGCACTCTGGCACAAACTTTACCGTTCATAAATTAGGAGCGCTGTCGGAATGTACCGTTCATTTATCCAGAGCATCGCATTCTCGGAGTGGCAGAGCTCACTCTAAGCACTCTGTCTGGGAAGATGGAGCAGCAGAGTGCCGGGTGGAGTAAGTGTGTGATTAACTTAACAAATTTATGAAGGCACCATGTCAGGTCACTTACTCTCCAGGACCGCGAGTGTTACTTGAAGTAAACACCGACCAACGGGACCAGACTGGCTGACCCGATTTGATTTGACAGGATTGCTGAAGGTGGAATGGCTGATTTGAATGGTTTCCTCCAGTTTGTTTTGATATCGAAGCCAACATTAGCTAATGTGCTACAAAGTTAGCATTACAGAGAAATCCAGTATTCCTCTCAATACCTCCCCAGGTGGACATGATATCCCTTAATATGAATAACGTTGTTCATCCCTACAACAGGAAATTCTGTTGCCCTAACCTGAGACGAAGTTTGCGCTATACATGCAAACATTTTTGACGATTGCCTCCATCCAGTCATTTTGCCTTTTTGCATTGTGGCTAGTATGCGATAAAATTTAAGCTTTGAGCCATGACTCCTTCTATTCTGGCTCCCAATTACACAACAACATTTTAAGACTCCTATGTAACCTACAGCCCTTTGGTGGCGAGTCGTGTTTTGCCTCCAGCTAATGAAATGACT